AGGACCGTCCCCCCCCCCCGACACACACACACACTGGGTGGGACAGAAGCCAGAGGGTCCACTGGAGGCAGCAAGAGGCTCCAAGGAAGAGATGGTCACTGAGGCCCGGAAGTGGGTAGAGCCAGGAAAAGGGATGGGGAGGAGGGGAGCTGGAGCCCTGGGGAACACAGACGAACCTCTCGCTTTGGAATCACTGCTAATCAATAGACACCCAAGGCCAAGCCAAGGGCGAAGCCTTTGGACCCAAGCCAACCCGGGGGGTGAGAAGATCAGAGCCCACAAACCCGGAGGGTGTGAACGGACATCCAGGCCCCATCCCACACCGGCCTTCTGACCACAGCCTTCCCACACGGCCAGAAGACAGGATGGATGCAAGAGCGAAGAATCCCAGGATCTAATTTTAGATGGTGGCGCCCGCCCCCCTGCCAACAGTGAGCAGTACTAAGAGGGTGACAGCTCTGCTCCTCTGCCTGGGCTCTTGTTTTAATGGTGCCGGCAGGCAGGGCCCACTCCAGAGCCACACTGGGTCTCTGCTGAGAAGATCCCTTGGCTGGCACAAGACGGGCTTGGCAGGGCTATGGAGGAGGCTGAAGCCAGGACCAAATAGTGACACAGATTGGATTGGGTGGGCTCCTGTCTTGACTCTGGATGATCTCAACAAATCTGCCCTCTGCCTTAGTTTGCCCTTCTGTAAATCATAGATTTCAGATGAGGTGTGTCAGGAACTAGGCTCTAAGAGCTCAGAGCTATCCTAATTCGTCTCACTGCCACCCAACTCCCAAGGCCCCAGACAGACCTGGCACTCCGGACTCGGTGCCCAGTCCTGCACTGAGGGACAAGGGTGAGAAAAACAGTCCCATCCTGCCCATAAGCCTGACCCTGAGAAGAGCTGATTAATGCCAGGAGCCTCTGGGTCCGGACCCCCTGGAGAGCCAGGGCAGGGAGGGCAGAGGGAGCCCAAGCTGAGGAATCATGGGGCAAGACAAGGACACTGAGGCTCAGAGAGGGACCCCGTTCTGCCCAGGGCAGCCCAACAGACATGAAAGAGGCAGGATATGAACCCAGGATCCCTCCCCTCCCCTGGGACTTTCATGGGTGGGCAGGCAGCCCCAACCCAGTCCTGCCAGCCACAGCCACCAGGCCCTGTGAGCAGAATGCCCAGCACACCAAGGAAATCAAAGGTTGTCCAGTGCCAACCCAGCAGGGCAATTCCTCCTCCCAGACTTAGCAAGCCCAGGGGATGGGTGTCATGTACCCTTCCCAGCACCCTACCACCACTCACACTTGCTGAAGATGATGTACAGGATGGGGAGGGTGGTAGAGGGCCTGATTAACTCCCAAGCCTCTTTCTATCTCTGCAACCCCCAGAATCTCTTGTGTTTTGTTTTGTTTTGTTTTGTTTTGTTTTGTTGAGACAGGCTTACCATGTAGCCCAGGCTGGCCTTGAACTTGCAGCAATCCTCCTGCCTCAACCCCTGGAGTGCTGGGATTACAGGCGTGCACCACCACACCCAACCAGAACCTTCTGAGGGGACAATGAAGGGTGCTGTTACCACAATGCTCTACAGAAGGAGTCTCAGAAGCCCCAATTTCTCAGCAGCTGTCCCAAGGCAGGGGTTGGGTCCGAGGGCCCCATTGAGGTATCCCCTGCAAACAAAGGCACCAGATTCCCCCAGATCAGTGGGAGGCAGCAGGGTCTCCCATCCCCACTTCTTTAACTGTCTCTGGGTTGGGGCTGCCCTGCAGCCAGGGGTGTCATAGGAGCAGGGTCACCAGAAGATCAGTTGCAGACCAAGACAGCACACTTCCTCCTGGTAGCTGCCAGCCCCTGCTCACCTCCTGTCCTCTGCCCCTCAGCTTCATCTGAGAAATGAATAAGATAGTGGAGTGAAGGCAAGTCTAATGGGACCAGGTGTGGCTCAGAGGCAGCGAGAGCTTACCTAGCATGTAGGTCTGGATATGATTCCCAGCACTGGAAGGAGAAGAACCAGCCTAGCCCAGGTCTGACATCCAGCAGGTGGCCACAGATGTGCCCTGGATATGGTCCTGTTCCTCCTTGCATCTGGAGTCAGGACAAGTGCTTCTATAAGAAGGTGCCAGATGCTGGACAACCTGAGTTTTAGAGCCAGCTCTGCTGCCATGTGTCTGCCACATGTGAGGCCATGTGAGGCAAGTCATTATCTCTCTCTGAGCCTTAGTCTTTTCTTCAATAAAATTCAGGGACTGAACTGAATTGTCAGGAATGGGAAGCCTGGGCACACACTCTCACTTACACAGACATGAGCAAACAATCAGCTGCCTACTGAATCCACCCAGATATAGTCTCAGAACCTCCAGACGCCCAGCACCACTGAATGAGAGCTAACTCAGAGGGGGAACCACAATTCTGCACTTAAATTTTAGTTTGATGGTTCCAGGACCCAGCTGAGTCTGCTTCCTCTATTGCAGAAAGCAAAGGTATGAGGATTAAATGAGACAGTATATTCAAAAATGGGCTTTCAAAGTCTTTTTGTCGGCAGATCCCATGTACCCTCTCCCCCATGGTGTTGGGCACACTGGGTCTCGCCTGGTTGTCCCTATCAGAAGTATGAAAGAAAGATGAATGCTGAAGATGTAGATCTGGGCCAGTATGGGAATAGTGGGGTGGTCCTGCGACCCAGACTCCGGGCCCCACTGCTGCTCCCTTAGCCCTGCCAACCTGGGGTCTGCAGTGAAGGATATGTCTGTCCTTGGCCACCTGCTGCCGGACCACTGTCACCTCCCACACTCAAGGAGCCAGGCCATCCTGGCTGGACCCCCACATCTGCTTGATCTCAGGCAATGAGGTAGGGCAGAAGCCTGGAGGACTTGTCCCTAATTCCACTTACAACACAACTTGGGGTCTCTGACATCTCCTGGGGGATGGCCCCAGGCCAAAGCATCTCCCATCTTCCCTCCTACCACCCCCAGTGAAGGCAGCAGCTGAAGACTATTCTGCAGAACAGCCTCCCTCCCACCCACAGCCCGACCTGTGTGACAGCGTCCACCCACCTCTGCTACCCCACAGCCCTGGCTGGCTTGGGGCTGACCGACACACTTGGGGCTGTCACTAATCTAGCCACTTAATAGCCCCTGCACATGCTCTCTCCTTGTCCAAAACACCTCCCATCTTGCCTCTTAGTGTATGCTGGCTGCTCTCTAAGACCCAACTTGAAGGACACCTCCTCTGGGAAGCCCGCCCCTTCCCCTTGCCAGGCAGCTGGTATTGGGCTTCTTTCCAGCCATCCTCACCAGCACTGGCTTGAGATGACAACCGGGGGGAGGGGGCAACCAGCCACAGCTGGGGAGGAGAGGACAGATGGCCCTGGGAGGAAGCCCAGCCCTCTGGGCCAACACCCCTGTGTACAGCCAAGTAGCTGAGCGATACACTCCAGCAGCCCTTGGGCAGTGAGGACACTGCTTACTTATTACAAAATAACCTTTATTGATAAAATAGCTCACTTTTAAAAAACAGTTGCATGTTACAAGCCATACTGCCGAGGGTCCCCTGGGTCACACACGATTAGCCAGCAGATGGTCACCAATCAGTCGGTCCCCTGGGCCCAGCCTCCCTGTCACAGCTGAGGGCCACAGCCCAGGACAATGTCCTGGCTCACAACTGCAACCAAGGGAGAACCAGGTGGGACAGGCCTCCTCCCCAGGGGTGGGGGGAACTCTCTTTGGTCCCCACCATTCTCTCTACCCCAGGAAACTCCCTCAGCATCCTTTCCAATCTGGCAGGCGCATCAGAATGCTAAGAGCCTCAGTCGTTCAACCCACCCCTGCTCCCACACTAGGGGGCATGCTGGCCCAGTGTGCAGCTAGACAGACCAAGGGGACGACTGGGCAATGTACTTTCTAGATGTCCAATTGTTTCAGGCACCAGGTTCAGGACAGGGAAAGAACCATGAGGGTAAGGCCCTTTGCCATGGCACATGTCAAGGCAGAACTCTAGGCATCAGCAAGGGACCCTCCTGGGTGTAACCAGTTATGCTGCACAGGGGCCCAGCTTGCCCAAAGGCCTACCCTGGGCACTGCACAGGCAGCTCCCGGGGGAGTCTGGGGAGTCCACAGGGCCTAGCTTGCCTGCTGCAGCCCCAGCACCCCACCAGGGGGTTCTGCCACCCACCTGGGCTCTCCGCACAGACTGCTTCCATGGTGTAGGTATTTTTAGCTGTCTCGGGGAAACACTTTGCCTACTGAAGACAAAAGACATATCCCCCTTGGGGTGGGAGCCAAAGCCACCGAAAAGCTGCTTAGTGTTGCAGGTGACATGTCAAGAAGCTGTCACCCAGCATAATAACCCAAACCTTCGTGGGCATAAGAACACATTCTCAAAGAATTTCTGGAACTCAAAATAGTGTGCCTTTCCCTGCTTCCAGGCTGGAGCAGGAATTCACACACCCTGGACACAGAACAAGAGTCTCCAGGAAGGCGGCTGGTGGCAAACACACAGAAAAGGGATTTTTATGTCACCGGATAATCACATCTGCTGGTTCTCCAGTGTGTTCCCCCACGGAGCTCAAAGCTTTCTGCAAAGCCTTTCATCTCTCTGTGGCAAGTAGGCGGCAAGCTATTGTCGCCTGGTTTTTTCAGGGGGGTGAATGCCAGTGATCGGGGAGCTCCCATCAAGGCTTCCACGTGCCCATCCGCCTCCCAGAGGGGGCCAGGTACTGATCCAAGGTTCTGTTCTTTAAAGGAGCCACAGACCCCAAAGCAGAAGGGAGAGAGAAGAGCCCAGAGTCAGTGGCATCCTATAAACCCTCCTGGTGCCCACTGGGATCCATGGTGCCCAATGTGGGTGAACAAACGGTCTTCATTCTTCCTCCTCCTCAGCAGCAGCAGGGCCTCCTGGGGAATGGGGAAGCTGGCATCCTGCTCTTGGGGCAGGGGGGCAGATAAAGAAACAAAAACACCACAAGCAAGTGACCTGCCAAGGCACATGGGATCCTCAAGATATGAAAGCCTACCCATGCGCTCAGAGGAGGCTGAGGGGAAGGTGCTCTATAGGGGGAACATTTGGGAAGGCCCAAATGTGCTCATTCAGCACAGCCCAAGTTACTTGTGCTCAGGAAGGGGGTGCAGAAGAGGTCCCCCCAGCACAGACCCAGCAAGGCGAGGCAGCCATGAGCCACTGGGAATGGCCCCTCTGCCCCCGCCCTCTCAGAAGCTCCCAGGTTGAGGCCTGCAGAAATGGGATGGGGTTCAGAAAGCCCCAGGGAGACAGCCACCCAAAGCAGGGTGGGAGATGGGTTGGCCCTGGCATGGACCCCACCCAGGCAGTGGGCGGGCAGGCTCACCAGGCCGTCTGGGTCCACTTGCGGCACAAGATCCTTCGGAAGGCACGGCGAAAGTCCTGGTTGAAGATGGTGTAGATGACGGGGTTCAGCGAGCTATTGCAGTAGCCAATCCAGAAGAAGAACTGGAAGAGGCCATGGGGCACCTTGCAGTGCTGAGGACAGATGGCGCCCAGGCTATAGCTGAAGAAGAAGGGGAACCAGCACAGCACAAAGACACCGATGACCACAGCCAGCACGAAGGTGAACCGCTTCTCCCGGGTCATCTGGGTCCGCCGACGCCACCACTGCCCACCCACAGCACCCGAACCCCTGCCCAGCAGCACCTGGCCACGCAGGGTAGCCAGCACCTGGGAGCCCTGTGGCTGCTGCAGAGATGGGCTGCACACCGAGGCAGGAGAGACTGGCACCGCCTGAGGCTCACACTCCTCCTCCTCTTCAGCTTCCTCCTCTGCGGGTGTCACACCAACACCCTTCTTCTGGCCCTGGCCTGAGGTGGGCCGCTCAGCCCAGCTGGGTGGCAGAGTCCTGGTCTCAGGATCTTCAGCAGTCTCCTCCTCCTCCTTCTCCCCATTGGGCTTGGGGTGTCCATTGGCCTCTCCGGCAGAAGACAGAGGCGAGGGTAGGGGTGGCACCTTGGCTGAGGCTGGAGCCCCCCCAAGGACAGGACGAGACTGCTTGGACTCACCTTGTCCAGGGCCCCCCTTGGCCCTGGGACCTCTGCGGTGGCTGCGCTTGGCAATCAGGTAGATGCGCAGGTAAACCAGGATCATGATGAGGCAGGGAGCAAAAAAAGACCCGATGCTGGAAGCCAAGATGTACCATGCCTCTTGGTTGAGCTTGCACTGAGGGCGCCCGTGAGGCTGCGGACCCTGGTCTCCCTTGTAGATGAGGGGCGGCAGCGAGATGACAGCCGCGATGAGCCACACGGTGAGGATGATGCACTTGATGCGGCGCGGAGTGCGCTTGGAGTTGTACTCCAGCGCGCGGCTCACAGCCCAGTAGCGGTCCAGGCTGATGGCGCAAAGGTGCACGATGGACGAGGTGCAGAAGAGCACGTCGAGCGCCAGGTACACCTCGCACCACGTGCGCCGGAAGTACCAATAGCCCAGCAGCTCGTTGGCCAGCGAGAAGGGGATAATGAGCGTGGCCACCAGGATGTCCGCGGCGGCTAGCGACACCAGGAACAGGTTCTGCGGTGCGCGCAGGGAACGGCTGGTCAGCACAGCCAGGATGACCAGTGCGTTGCCGAAGATGGTGAAAAGGATGAGGAAAGTGATGACCGCCGCGATGGCGGCGGTGGCCTGCACGGA